CTGGTGGAAAGCTTGCTTTTTAGGTGTATCGTGTTTCCCATCTAGCCAACCTTCATAACTCAGTTCTAAACTTCAAAGACGGATATAACACTTTAGTCGGAGAGCGTGGGTTAAAGTTAAGCGGGGGTGAGAAACAACGTGTCGCTATTGCCCGAGCCATGTTGAAAGATGCACCAATAATAAGTTAGCTGTTTCCTTCTTGTAAGGAATTTTCTCATGACTGGCTCGTATTACCCAAAATACGTTAGCTTTCAAAATGTTTTTTATTTTTCAAATTCTTTTAGTTTACGATGAAGCGACTTCTTCGTTAGATGCATTAACCGAGGAAAGTATTATGCATTTTATGCGTAGTGCCGTACATCGCAAGACTTCTCTTTTCATTGCCCACCGACTAGCAACCATCGTTGATGCAGACATTATTTATGTCCTTGAAAACGGAAAAGTTTGTCTTCACTTCTTTTTTTGACTACTTCCTTGTGGTACTTCATAATCTCTTTGAAATTTCATCTCTCTCGTTTATGAGCGAAGTAAGCATAATTGGTTTTACTTTCGAAGTTAGCTTTAGGTCATTGAAAACGGGAATCACTTTGAGCTTCTTAAACGGAATGGACGCTATGCCGATCTTTGGCATTCTCAACATAAATATGCAGATGGCGTGCCACCAAAGGTACGTAAAGAAGAATATAAGCATAAGCATGAAGAACTGATTTTTGATGTTGGCAGCGGAGGTTGCTGTGGATCAGATGCATGCCATTAGCGACTGCTGCACTTCCCAGTACTGTACAACATATTGGTGTGAAGCGAACAAGATTATCTTATTGTAGGGAAGTTTGACCCAAATATGAATGGTGTGATTCGCGCACTGCACCCTAACGTAACAAATTTTTGACTTATTTGGAAGCGAAGTTCCAAAAAACTTTGAGTCTTTTTGAGGATTGGCAGTTTTTTAGTTCTTGACCCGTTTTAAAAATTTTTTTGGTTAACTGACAGCATTGCTTATCAGTATTAAATTTTAAGCTATCTGTGTCGATTTTGATTTTCATAAAGGGTGGACGGTCGTGTTTTTCTGTTAGTTATTCTTCAAATCTCGACAAAGTTTTAACTTTGTAATCTATCGGTCTTCTATTAACAACTTGGTATGCAAGCCAATACTGGTCTCCGCGTCTGTTAAGGTGTTTTTAGTTGTTCGTCTAGCTTTCTTTGAAAGTTTGCATACTTTAGAATTGCGCTGACTTGTTTTCATTTGGATTTGTCGCCGGTGTATCTGTTTAATTCTCTTTTTTGGCAGCAATATTTCTTAAAATCCAGGGTTTGTTAGTATTGTGTTATAAACTGTTAATGGCGTTTCTTGATTCTTAGTTTTAGAATCCAACGTTCATCTAAGGGGAAATGAACTCGTGCATGAAAAAAGCACGTAACGCTCCACAAGTGACCAAATAAAGTGTTGGAGTAGAAAAAGAGCCCTTCTGCAATGCAAAATCTAGCATATCTTCCGCAGCAGAGCTGATGAATTCTAATATTACAAATCGATGCAGGTACGTGCACTGTAGATTTAAAAAACGTTCAGGTCTGTGGTGGGAAGTTGTGACGCATTCCGAAAGTTATAATGACAAGTTCAAGGTATTGGGGAACGACCAGTGAAGCGTGGTGTTAGATTCTTGCTGTAAGTCCCTCATGGAAAGTCTGACTGATTTACAGTTCGCAAGGATTCTAGGATTAAAAGAAGCCTTGAAGATAACGACACTAGCGACTTGCGGATCATAAAGGTTCGTCTGTTCCTTGATGTCCTCCTGCAGGCGTAAGCTTATCAAACTTACCTCACAGATGCTTCCACTTGAAACGATGGCAGCGAAAGCCTGGAGCAATTGTACAACTTTAAAATTAAGTTTACATAACGCAACGCCAAACATGAATAGAACAAAATTTGGCGTTAACGATGATATCTGGAAGTTACAAATACATTTAGAAAATGAACGAATTTCGTATTCTGAAGAGCCGAAAACACTGTTCTTGTCACACGCCAAAAAGTTTGACAGTTGACTAATAAAAACCCTGAAAGTGAATTAAATTAAAAAATACCTAATTGCTAAATTCAGAAAACTATCAACAGATAATGCTGGACCAAATATCAGAAAAGTGGGGCAAAGACGATTTGTAAAAGCTAAAAATTGTAGGCATCAGCTATACACGGCAGTAAATACGTATTTTTGATTTGGCGGGTTTCGAGGTTTCCTCATTATTTTGGCTGGTTGCCAATTGCATCGAAACCTCCAATGGGATTAAGTATAAAAGGATGATGCGTCGTTAGTCGTCGGAAATTTGCAGATCACAGAAGCGAAATCATCCCTGGAATCCGAAAAATGCCGTACGAACATATTTCATTCTTAGAATGTTCTTTTCTTCCTTTTGTGTGTATCTGCACTGTGTGTTTTGTGTTGCATTCTGATGTGGAAATGTTAGCAACAGCAGCATGTAAACAAAGTGGATTATAGTAATTAGGAGTCTCGAAGGATACTTCTATAGATGGTCGGTGTAAGTAGCACTTTTGTCGGTGATGAGTTGCCTCTTATATTCGTTTTCTTTTTTTTTTGTTGTCGTTTAGTAATAGGAAGACGGGTGTATTCTAAAATTACCTGCGTTGCAGTTAATTTTCCTTACTACTGAACTTGGTTTTTTATCCGCCAACTTGTTTTCATTTTTTGTATTTGGAGTTCTCGAGCGCGTCTGACTCAGTTGCGATAACTTCATATTTTTCTGTGCACTTCTTGCTAACTTTCTAACGGGCTAAAGCTACAGTTGCATTATTATTCTTACGATGTTTTATGACACTGGCTTGTTGGTGGCTGTTTGGCGGTGTAATGAGTAGTGGCTACGCCTTATTCCTGAGATTCTGGAGTTTTAGAGCGGGTTCAAATTAATTCCGCTCGCAACCCCCTGCCGAAGTTTCTGACATTTTTGATCTGTCTTCTGGCCTACGGAAAAGCCCCTACCTAATCGTATCGTTTTGCCGAAAAGCTCGCTGGCTCACTGTTTTAGATGGCTAAATGGGTTGTTGGAGAA